AGCCGTTAACCGTATCACAGGGCTATTTTTCGAAAACGTCGTCCGTGGGATTCGAACTCTAGACCTGCCATCTGGGGTGCGACAACTCCACCACTTCACTAAGTCGCCACACCCTCTGAATGGCATTACTAAAAATTCATAATGACTATATCATATATGAAACGCTGTCTTTTCAACATTCTTCTCTTTAATGCATATTTAGTGGTATCCAGATTACAAATCAATTTTGCTAAAAATTACAGCACCAGTAAGTTGTTCCAGTAAATTATCCACGTGAGAAAGGGGGTACTAGTTTTTTATTGTGGCTTTATTCAAAGCTCTGTAGCCTATATACATCTGGAGGATACCATCCTTCTTGGCTACAAAAAGCACTGGGGCTCTATAAGGTGATGTGCTAGGATGAATTATCCCTTTTGTTATATTTTCATCTAACTGTTTCTTTAATTCTTTTAGTTCATGAAATTACAACCTATAGATGGAGCCAAATAGGGGCACCACATCTCTTTTAAGGGAAATCCTATGGTCAATATTTTTTTTTGGAGGCAATTTATTCAGTAATTCCTCTAGAAAGACATCTCAATATTTGTCTACTGTAGTTTTTAGGAATTCCAGAACATCTATATTTGTATCACTTTCTGTGCTTTGTATGTTCATATTTACTACTGCAAACTGCTCTGTGTTCTATTTGGCTTCTTTAACTAGTTGCATCCTCAAAATCGTTACTGCGACAGGTTTGGTTTGTTTCCCATTAGCTTTAGCACTAATATTATAAGCTTTTTGGTCCTTCTATATAGAAATGTTATTTGTTCTCCAATTAATTTGGGGGTTGTAGTCATACATCCATAGTTTTCCTAATATCATGTTGTACTTTTGCAATGATAAGACTTTTATTTGGTTCTAGTATTCTTTCCATGACTACAATTGAATTTCTATATTCGTTATATATTTGTGTGACTTACATAGTGTTCTATCAGCTAATTCTACCTTTGAGGTCTCTTCAGAGCTTTTCTTAACATTTATTTGGTGTTCTTTCACAAACTGTGCACTAATGAAGTTTTTAGAGGATTCTGAATTAATTAAAATCAAGGCTTCTTTTTTGTCGACCTTCCCTTTTATCCATAGGAGTTTCTCTTTCTTTTCGCTACTCATATTCACTTCCATTTTGACAATGTTTGCTTGTTCAACATTAGCACTTGTACCTGCAGAACTTTCAGAGTCTAAGTTCTGTTTATTGGGGCATGCTTTTGCTATGTGGCCTTTTTGTCTATACTTAAAACATAAGCCTTTTTGCCTATACTCCTTTTTCTTTGTATCTCTTGTAGTTTGTTTTTCCTTTTTTAAATTCTCTCAAAATTTTTTCATTTTGGTTCTATCAAGTTCCACTATCATTCTCTGTACTGCTAACTTTTGAACTGTTATTTTTGATTTCTTCAGAGGCTTGATATCCTATTACACCAATACTGACATCGCTGAATTATATATTATTGCCAAATGCATTGCATCCTCAAGGCTTTCAGGTGCCTAATAGCTAACTTTGGCTTTGGTTGCTGGTTTTAGACCTTCTATGAAGTTGAGTATCTTGTCTTCTTCTTCTATACTTTCTACTTGACCAAGTAAGTTTCTAAATCTAGTAGTGTACTCCTGTATGATCAAAGTTTGTTTAATACTTCATAACTGCCATTTCAGGTATTGCTGATATTGTGGAGATTGAAATGCTAGCCTTAATTCTTTAGCAAAAATCTTCCCATGTATCAAATAGTCTCTTATCTTTATCACAAAGGACTTTATTTGGGTACTATTGTAATGTAGTGTCCTTTAGCCCCATAATAATATATTGTAACCATTTTTCATCATCTACCTTTCGTGTTTTGAATAGTAGATCAACTTGTAATAACCAAGTTACTATGTTTTCTTTTTCTTTTCTGTGGAATATTGGTAACTGTACTGATAGGCCTTTTATTTGTGCTGGTTCACAGTGATAATTTCTTCCATGAAAGTTGGTACAGTTTGTGTTTGAGTATTTTGGTTCTCAAGAAGTTTCGCAATTTGTATGTGACAGCATTCTGGTTTGCAACAAACCTATTAATAAACTAGTTAAATTGATCTTGATTTATTATGATCAGATCAACTCAGTGGTTGATATACTAATTTACAGTGATCAATAGATCTTTTGTTTTTATAAAATTGTCTGCTGCTACTAAATGTAACTATTGTCAACCATACAATAGTCGTTAGTATAAAAATGAGACCTTTTTAAAAAGTAAAAATCTAACCTTTTTTTTATATTTTGAACTTCTATTTATTTGTACATTTGCTTTTACTAATTACCAATTTATTATATACAAATGACTATATTTATTATGTACATAAATTATCAATTATTCAACCACGAACCCCGCATTAATTAAAGATCAGATGTACAATCACGATCATCGATTCTGATCATGTCATATAAACATAATAAGTATCAATTATTTATCTTGCAATCCCCTATCTGAATTGCTACTAATTAGGTCTTGTTTACTTAGATCATAATTAGTTACAGATTCTTGCATCCTGTCACCATCAAAGCCATTCTAGTATTGTTAATAGTCATTGTACCGATTTAGACTATTACATAAAAAAATAATTTGAGTGAAGATTAATTTGAGTAAAGGTTTAATTATTTATATAAAAAAATAGAGGTTTAATAAATAATTTAAGTGAAGAGTTAATAAAAAATAATTTGAGCAAAGATTTAATAATTTATATAAAAAAATTGAGGTTTAATAAGTAATTTAAGTGAAAATTTAATAAAAAATAATTTGTGTGAAGATTTAATAATTAATTTGAGCAAAGGTTTAGTGAATAAAGGTTTAGTAAGTTATATAAAAAAATAATTTGAACAAAGATTTAATAATTTATATTAAAAAATAGAGGATTAATAAATAATTTAAGCGAAGGCTTAATAAAAAATAATTTGAGCAAAAATATAATAATTAATTTGAGCAAAGAAGTAAAGGCTTAGTAAGTTAATAAAAAATAATTTAATCAAAGGTTTAATAATTTATATAAAAAAATTGAGGTTTAATAAGTAATTTAAGTAAAAGTTCAATAAAAATAATTTGAGCAAAAGTTTAATAATTGTGGCAGCTGATGCTGAAATTGGCTGATACTGAGATTTTAAATATTTTAATATTAAATTTTAAAAATTTTTGGGCCTTTTGTTAGAGTTTTTTTTCTTAGGGTTAGGTTAGGGTTTAAGGGTAGTTTTATTAATAAAAGAGTATAAATGAATTTTGGTAGGTATTGTAGATTGA